TATTATTATTATTATTATTATTATTATTATTATTATTATTATTATTATTATTATCATTATTATTATCAAACACCTTCAGCTTTCATCCACCATTACCCATAACGCATTCGGTATTGTCGCGTACCCCGGCGCGTACCCTCCAATCTTTTTTAGGACAACCTTTCTCGAACAATTGTAAACACCTTAATGAAGAGGGGGAATATGAGAGAACAGTGTCTTGCCATAGAGTAACTCAGTGACAACACATTAGTACTGTGCCCGAAGTTACTATCGGCATGAATGAAAGACCATGAAAGTTCGTGATGTCTAAGTAGCTTCCCACGCATTCCTTATTGGCTCTCGCTTGAATCGGCTTGGAGTTGCAGTTATATGATACTTGAAACTGGATGCTGGAAGGTGAAGATAACGGTCAGAAAACATGATACAATTTTTGTGAAACTGATCGACTGTTTGACAAATGCGCATCCTCTGATTTAACAAAGGACTCTAAAAGAGGTCTTGGGTAAAATCAATAGATTCGTATTCTCTTGGTAAAGTACAGCTGTGTCAAAGAGGCGATGCACAACTTATTTTGTTCGTCGTCAAAACTTTAATTTATTTATGGCCGTGACGCTCTCAGTGAAGTACTAAAGCAATACAACTGCAAATTAAACAATGACGTGACGTGTCCCTCTTCGATCGTGGAAACTTCGGCACGTTCCGGCTTCTCGAAGTCTCTCCGACGGTTGCATCCGTTTGCGTCATCATAATTACCTGTATTGTCTCACCGGCGTCGTGGTTTGTAAAACGAGGAAACTCGGGCAATCCACAAACCGTCCAGAGTAGAATATATGACGCACGAAGGGAGCTCTTCTCTACTCGGAAAGCTATTTTTGTTTTTCCGCTAGTCGCTGATCTCTCACAAAGAAGTTTTGAGCCGCACAATTGTTTATTCATATTTAAATATTTCAGGTTAGGCAGTGGTTTACCTCGGTTGAATAAAAATCATAGGAGCACGCGTAGCAGTTGAAATCGAATATCGAAGGCGCGCGTGCCTCACAGCATGTCCAATATACTATTTTATGAAACAATTTATTTTAGGTGTTTACATTAGTGTAAAGTTTCGCAAGAAAACTTCACACTCGCACGCCAGAACTGAAGCAGTACGTGACCGCGCAGACTTAAATGACCCTTGATCAAACAGTGAAATGTTTTCGCGTGTGTTAGTCCAAGCTTGTTAAAGGCCGCGTGAGCAACATCATTACATAATCTTAATATTAGCGCGTTGGATCCTCAAAAAATCAATCAGTTCCTCCGTAAAAGTCCTTCAAAATGTTTTTAATAATTTTGTTAATAGTTGTCCACGCGGTGTACTTCAAAGTGCTTGTTTATTCGCGCAGCGAAGCGCAACATTCTACTGACTTGTGACGTTACTGTTATGTTTTCTGAGAACTCGAGGACATGCTTGACGAGTATGGCAACCAGACCTGCTCTTAAAGATATTGTAGCCGGACAGAAGTAGCAGTGAAGAAACCCGCATGAGCGACATATCTGACCGTAAACGTGATCAGGAACTAATTTCTCCTCCGAATACCTATACAATGTTAGTGTCAAGGTGATGAGATTTAAGAGATTGATCAAACAAGGGAAGCTGTCTTAAGAAAGTATCATAAAAAGTTCTCTGGGATAGAGTAGTAGAAAAAAATCGACTATGGGAACGAGTGCCAGTGAGAAATTTGCTGTTTAAAAAAAGTTAAGCCGTGTTCTGTTCTTTTCAGCCATAAAACACGCTGTTCTTATATATTTCTTTAATAACACCGCCGTCTTAGAACTCTGTGAGTACCAAGACAATGTAATCAACATATTGGCCAAGCAACTGTCGGTGGTTATATCCCTTTACTCTGTAGAAGCTTACACAGTATTTTTAAGGTGAATAATGTTTATGAATAGGTTATGGATAGATATTGATAAAGAATTCAATTTGATGATGAAACGTATGAGAGCGCTTCACTGACCTCACAATCTTATCATCTTGAACTCAATATCAAACTCTCAAACTGTCTTATTTACTTCGACTAAAAAGCTCAGCTTCTTCTCATTCAAGCTGTACGTGCCTACGGAAATAATATTGGTTCATTTGCCACCTTGTTTACAAAAGAAGTTGTTGGCTTATATTATTTTTAGTTAACCACGAACCGAAATTGGCCAATTTCCTTCCCGGCGATATCAAGGTTGCTTTAACAAGGTTAAACCACAGTCAAACGAAAAAGAAAATGTCGGTTTTGGTCAGATTTCTTTCGATGATCGGTGAAATAAGACTTGCTTTGTTTTCTTTTTAATTCTTAATCATGCATAACGAAACTGTTATCTAACCATTCCGGTGATCACACAAATGAGAGTCCTAATACAGTAATAGTTTTCTCGATTCTTTATGTGTGTTCAATATTACGCAGATCCCTTTCAGCGTTCGTTGTTTGTATGTAAACCTTGTTTATTTAATTGTCTTTCGTTCATTGAGCATTCAGCCAGAGCGGACTGTATTCCTTCAGACGTAGAAAGGTATTTTAGCACCCTATTTCAATCACTTTAACTTTGATTTGCTTTTAAAAAAAACTTCTGTTGATAAATGTAATCAAATGGGCATTTAGGTCACGCGATAGCAAACGCATCAGGCAGTTTATACCGCACAATTTTGAAAATTCAATCGAATCTATGGTCCACGCGTCTCGACGGCAAAGGGCAAAAATAACCAGAAGTATAAATTTCATGAACATGAGATTCCAAAATGTTGTGTTGTATTGCAATAAAAAAAAAAAAATCCGAAAAGGTGCTTGCAATATTATTACCTCTAAAATGTTCTGTACTGAAGTATTGCTCATTGCTTTTCACCATACCGCCGGTGTCCAATATGCAGGACCGTTCACTGTTATTAATTGTATTTTTGAGGAAAAATTACCAAAACATACGTTCGTATCACTAAAACATCAGGATCTTTTGAAACTCAGTTTCTGGCCTTATAAATCAATGCGCCATTTTCATTTTACCGGAGTATGCTTCAGCCTATCTGCCGGCACTCGGAAGAAGGAAGATTAACGACAGACTCTAGTTAAGGAAGGAAAAAAGGTATTATCGCAGTAAAAATTGAACAGCAATGCCAGGAAATGGAGTGATACCAAATTAACTATGATACGAAAAATCGGTTGACTAAAAACATCAAGAATTTATGTGAAAAACAATCAATCAAATTAACAATGATATGACTGAAATCAGTTGACTAAAAACATCAAGAATTTACAAAAAAATAAATTAAAAAACAAAAAACAAAATCAGTATCGATCAAATGCCGAAACTTTGTAAAGGTCTATCATTCACACTGTTACCAAATCAGTTCTGTTGTTTGGTGTCTCGGAACTTATATTTTATACAAGCAAAAAAAAACTTTTTAAGCTAATCATACTTGAACTAAAAGGCATCAACCAAAGTTTGGCTATACAACGCTCGCATTTCTACTGTGACCTTCAAAAACCAACTAGACTAGAAACATTTTAGAGTCTTCTTCACATTTTGTAATAAAACTATATCTTCAGTGTGGTGATTCCACGATCAATGACATAGTTGAAATAAAAATGGAAAGACTGATTGAAATATCGATTTGCGCAAAAATTCGCTATGCCGTGACCACTCACCAGAAGAAAGGAACCTGCCTGTTAATTATCTTTCATTCTTTAATTCTGTTTTCAGCACGGTGCTCTTTTTCCACAGTCTTCATCTGTTTAGAAGTTTTCTTCACTTCGTGTAGAGATTCTTTATAATTAGGCTGTCTCAAAAACCTGAATAGACAATGAACTGGTGCCAATAACGTTTTCCCGCTTTGATGAATATCCCCGAGTTCATAGCCTCAAGCTTTAGAGTACTGGCATTTAACCACAGTTTGACTCAAATGCTGTCCTTTTTGACATGGATTACAAAATGAAAACAGAGGCTGGATTACAGATTTAAGACGTTTTGCAACCCACTCGTCCAACAGAAGAGCTGGCTGAACTATCTGACAAAGTGCTGACTCTTTCTTTTTACTATTCAATGACTGTCTTCTCGGATTCCATTTTATTCAGACCTGTTTGACTGAAATAGAAAAACCGTTTGCATCTTCAAGAAAAGAGAGCGAAAATAGAAATTTCGTGCCAAGTTTGTCGCTAATCAGTATGAAATGAAAGGAAATGGCTGGCGAGATAACAAAAGCAATTAACGAATCGAAACGGAGAACTTGAATCCCTTGAACTGATGTGGTTTGTGGCTTAGTCAACAAAGCCACACACCTCCAAGGCATGCGGGACATTCGGCAGGACTCTAATCTACAGCTGCTAGTTGCGGAATACCAGGTGATTTGATGTCGTCGTTGTTTTACATGACCATAGCGCTCTAATTCATGCTTAAAGCTGTAAATGGCGCATAATACATTGAGCTGTTTTATCTGTGACTGTTTGTGTTTAATATAATTCTTATCTTTTTAGTCTTATAATCCGTAAATTGACCGAACAAAAAAGGGAGCGAATTGGATAAGCTTGATTAGGTGGTAAGCCAGCTGTCTTTGATATTTGGAGGATACACATGACTAGATATTCTGCTTTGTGACTGGAAACTAAAAGGCCTCCTTTGGCTCTTGTTACGCCAACTGGAAAACTTGAACGAAAGAATTTCGAAGAGATAATGGATTTCAAATGGATAGTGAATTCTCTCAGAGACTCTCGAATACTTCGATTTTTAACTTGGTGGTATTTTGCAACACCAATAAACGAAAATGATAACGCTCTCGTATCGACTCTTGCAGATTAGTCCAAAGATCAGGGCATGCAAACCAAGTTGCGTGCACTAAATCTTACCATAAGAGTATTGTGCAACAAAGCAGACAGTGTCCCCCGCAGGGAATCGATTCGAGAATTTTATAATTACCTCGATGTTTTGACTTTAAAAACCGCACAATTTTGCCACTTTACTCACTGCCAAAAAAAATTCACACTACATGAAATTCCAACTGCTTTTTTTATTTTGATAGTATTCTCATCTTTTTGAATAAAATAACACAGTATCTTATAAATATAACCTCTAAAATTCCATTACATAAAAATACATCTCTTTTCTTTTGACAAAAACTTCTTATTTACAAACTCTTCTTTTCCACAAAATAATCTTGATGGCGTTGTTTTCTTCTTTGTAAGATTTCTTTACTTGTGGCAGGATGTGATGAGGTGCGTTGTGTTGAAGACCATTATTTGTACAAAGTACAGATGTTGTTAAAGCACTAGAGCGATAATCTTATTTCTGCGCTTATTTGGAGAGGTTCAGTTGTCACTTCCTTGCCAGTATTTAATAACACAACCATAGATAGAGCTCAACAATATGATTCGCACTGAACCACAAGAAAGTTTCGTGTGATAGTGCGGCGACAATCCACTTGAAAGATGAAAGAATAACATTTGAATCATTGCGTCAAAACTCGACATATTTACTTCATCTTGCAATGATAATTGTAATCAAGTTTTTCAGTTCAGAGCAAATCGTGCTCGTCGTGTTCAAGACGAAGTCCATTCTTTATCATCATTTATGTTGCAAATGGTCTTTGTCGTGCTCAGGACGAAGTCTATTGTTCATGTATTCGCTCAGTTCTCTCTAAGATTGTTGTTGTGGTTGATGGCGTTTCATGTGGAGCGCCAAATGATCCGATCTGGCGAAAGCTCTGTCACAGAACTGGCATTTAAACGGTTTGGCGCCCGTGTGTTTTCTAAAATGCCTGGTAAGCTCATCCGAGCGAGCAAACCTCCATTCACAACCTTCCCAGGTACATTTATACGGTTTTTCACCCGTATGAGTTCTCATGTGAGCCTTGAGATGCGAACTCTTGGTGTAAACTTTATTACAGCCTGGATGTTCACAGTGATGTATCCTTCGTCGCTGTAGTTCAGGCGAGCCACGTTTATGCGGTACCAGTACAGTTGGAGGGGTGTATGGCGGCGGAGGGCCCAATGGTCCTAAATATATTTGTTGGGCAGCCATTTCTGGTGAGCCAGGGTTTGAATTCGGCGGTGTTGGAGGATAAATCACCGTGTAGTCGCGTGGCGGTTGAACAACTTTGAGTTGATGGAAGTGAGAACGGTTGTCGGTTGGCATTTGAATATTGCTCGTCACGACTGGAACCGGATTTATCGTAGTGATTGTTGTAGTGTTCGTAAATGCTGGAGGAAGCGTAAATGTATCCACATCTGTCACAAAGACCTTCTCCGGCAGTGGCTCGTTGTTGTTCTGCTCCACTACAATACAATCACCGGAGTCGTCATCAAATGTGAAAAAGTCATTCACGACATTGGCGCTTTCTCGTCGAAATTTCCTTTTTCTTGTGATCAACGGACTCATGGTTAGTGGCGAAGGAACAGCTCCTTGAAGGTATCTCTCCATTTCCCACATTGTCTAAAGAAAGAAAACGAATTCAGTTGAGAAATGATTTCAGTTCATCACAACTTGTCAAATATGGCGCCTTGAAAAAAAGCACCTAACCTCAAACGAGTGCTATGATGTTTATTTCACTACGACTGAATGTTGGTTTCATCACAAGATGTCAGTTATCCTTATGGAGCCTCGAATTCTAATTACTGATGAACTGGTTTTAAGAAAACGAGTCACTTAGCCTTACATGAGAGAGAAATCCAGTGAAGTAAACAACACGATTAAATTTATCAAGCGATGTGATCAATAATTAGAAATCATTTCAGCTGCTAATGTAACAATTATTACCAGGCAACTGATCTGGCGGGCCACATTCTGGGTAGCTAATCCAAAATTTAAAAAAAAATAATTCGAACGCGCTATAGTTCAGAAAATCAAAAGAAAATCTGATTCATCTATCAAAAAAACAACAGTTACGCTTCAGTGAGCCCTTTCTAATTGCTTACAGCCTGTATTTTTTGTGGCGAGAATATTTCGTAACTGAACTGAAGGAATTTGCCTTCTATTGTATCGCCGCACGCTAGAATAGCAATCATTAAAATTCAACCAACCTGTTGCACTTCGTCGATTTTGGCCATGGGCGACAAATTAGAGGACGGAGCCATTGGCCGCACAAAATTGTGAACAGTAGTGGCCAAGTCACATTCAGCGTTACCATCGATAACTGTCCTTGCCTCTTGAATGACTGACACTGGTAGAGCAAGAGCCATGGCTTGTACTTGATCCGTATAAAATGGCTGATCAGCTGTGAGTAATCAGATAATGTAAGTATCTCCCACTACCTGTTGTGTTATGACTGACTTTCTTCCCACTGGTGAACTGACTGTTCAGTTTCCGATCGTTGTTGATTTGAATCGACCGAAGACATCTCTTTATATCTTGTTCGCCGAGATTGCAAGACGACTTTAGTTACCAAATATGGGAAAGGTAGGCGTGTAGGTGACAAAATCTCTTTGCGGTCAGTTGAAAACAATTAGTATCCTCTTGGGTCTAGCAATCAGCCAATCATAGCATGCCGATTTCTAAACCTCTCCACTTGATGACGTCAATGGTGACCCACGGGGTCATCTCAAGTAATCCCTATGCAAGCTGATTGGCCAAAATTTGATGACACAGTAATTCTTGGCGCGATGAAAACAACTTGATTATTAAAAAGTCGACGTTTGAAATGAATCCTTTGTCAGTAAAATAAACACATTGAAAACAATGGCAAGTTGTAATTTCAATTGGTTTGAGTGACAGACCCATTTCCGTCCTGGAAGATTCTTCGAATCTGCATTCCACCGCCGATCTTTGCTTCTTCTGCCTAGCGATGAACTTGCACGTCCGATTTACAGCTTGCCGCACTTCAGTAGCGTGTAAGCGTTTAGCTGTATTCAAAGCTACAAAAACATTTCTTCAAAACATCTGACTTTTCCTTTGGGGTATTTGAGAATAATGAAGGCACTGGACCAAAACAAGGTATTGTGTGTCGGATCGTGGGAAAATAATTGTTATGGTTCACATCGTCGGAAAACATGACCAAATCGGGAAGTGGCGATCTCTTACGAGTGTGACGTAGTCACTAGCCGAACAAGTGATATCGAAAGGTCAAAGATAAGCTTTTCAGTTTGGCTGCCGGTTATCACGTTAGTTCGGCAGGGATTTACATTTAACCCGAAAAAGCTGCATTCCTTTTTTAAGGAAAGGATATTACGGGTAAATTGCAATTCAAAATGTTTCACTTGCGATTTCAGATTCGACTTGAAATAAAAATTAAACCGATACGAAGGATAGTTTGTAAACACAAGGATCTACCTCCCGGGTATGGCATGTGAAAATAAACTTCGTTTATTTTTTCCGCTGTTTACACGATCTTTTCCTGTATTACCCTTGTAAACAACGCACGTGAGCAAAGGGTCTGTATTAAAATTGGTTCATCATCTTTTATGTCGTTTTCATATCAAAGGAAGTTACGGAGTTCATTTTGATAATTCTCACTTCCTTCATTTGACCCACCGCAGCGGATTTTAAAGGCGCAACGGTCCAACAGTTTGTTACATGTATAAAATGTAACAGTTTCACAAAAGGCATTCCAAATATCCCACGCTGACTAAAGCAAACAGTTCTCATCGAGCCTGAAGTGGATGGGCAAATGATAGCCTCTACCATTGACAATCCTTCTGTGTAAATAAATCGTTCGTAGTCAAAAGAACGAGAAACATTTCAGTTAGTCTTTTTCGTTCTAAAATAACAAAATCCCGAAGAGATTATCGTGCATTCCAAGCGGCGATCGCTATCGTTTTTCATACCGAGATGCCGATAACACGCCGAGATGCTTCGGCAGGCAGCCGTAAATAACATCGGAATGTCGAAAGCTGATATCGTTGTGGGGGGCGCACGAGTATTATCTTCGTAGGCGGAGCCGAAGTTTACCGACCGTGTCGCTAACAGAAAGAAAGGGGTCATTGACAATTTCCGATGTCTACAATATCAGACTGTTTACAAACTAAAGATCTTCTAAAACGGGAACAAAGCTTTTCTGGGCGTCGCCCAGGTGTCAAGTGGTTGGGTCAACACATTATGCCAAAAATAGCGTTCCCATTAACAGCCGAAGGACTAACGAGATTGTATGCAGATTGCACGGGTCATACCTTATTAAGCAGAAACTTTTACGGACTTTCAATATCAGTATTTTCAACAGTTTCTCTTTGAGAACTGTTTGATATCCGTGTTATTTTAAACGTTCTTGTCTGTTCTGAGGATTACGTGGATATTTCGCACATGGCTTTGTCGCTGGTCGTTCCTTGACACGATTTACATATCCTCTCGGCTGATGTTTTGAAGAACATTTCTTTGTGAAGGGAAACTGTTAGCACAGGCTGTCATCGCGTGTATCAGAATTTTGGTATCTGGTAATATTTATATGTACCATATACTGGTTGCCTGAAATAGAAGATCCAATTTTAAACCTGCGTGGTCCGATGCGATTGTCATAGCGGAATACTGCAAAATCCTCTCAAAAGGGTTTTCTTTAATTTGTATACAAGTTTTAGCTGATAAGCCCTGCTTTCGGACGACTTAAACTGGAAATCGCGCCGTCAACCTGAAAAATAAATCGTTTCGAACCACAGCGCCGAAAAGCCAACAGCAGCTCAAGGTCGTCAAATAAGAAAATTTAGTTCACTCACTAAACTTTTTTGATAAGAAGTTTAATTTATCTACGCGAGATCTCTAACTCTCTATAACTCGATCACTTTGTTACATTTTCTATTTGTCATTGTGGTTTTACGTCGACTTCCTTTCGGAATTTCTTGTTGGCCAGGTCATTTCCTGCGGCGGTGCCGTAGCATTCGTTTGACGTCAAATGCGGTTTTCCGGTGAAGCTCAAGTGACAAAATACATTTCTCGGGATCTATTTCCTGTGCACACGAATCAGCGTTTTGATGCTGAACAAAAACATTTTCGACACGTCGCAAAGAGTTCAAGCGCGATCCGTGAAAGGAAAAAAAAGGTCGTCTTCACCGATGTGAAACAACAAGATCACTGGCCTACACTGTATCCTTATAAGATGTGACGAATTTGTAAAGTATCTGCTTTTCAACCACGACTAAAAGTAAGAAATTCCAATTAAAAAATTAAAACCCGTAAATGATAAAAACGATTACTATTGATCACTCGAAATCATGCATGTTGCAATCTCGCTATCAGGTCTTTACCGAGTTATATAAAGCAATAATATTGCCCGAAAACCGAAAGCGAAATTGTCTTTTTAGATTGATCTTTATACTGTGTAAGACGTGCGGAAATTCTGTTGGACATGATAAATTGTTAGTTTATAATAAACAGAGTGAGTATCACAGCCGCTCCTTGTTACGGTTCTGAGTGCACGTTTGTAATGACGCGTTTTATTCAAGTAGAGGGCCACTGAAAGTGTCATAAAGAAATGAGTTATTCCGTTTACGGACTCGTAGATTGTAGATTTTAGCATCCAAATTTATGTACTCGATTGAGTTCAATGGTGTTCTGTAGTGCGTGTTTTTGTGAGGGAAACTAATTTGATGGTATTTCAACTATTGATTTAAAACACTGCTCTAGGCACAGCGTATGATACTTGCGAGAAGTAACTCGTTTTTGTTTATAATACAGTACAGCTCAGCCGATTGATGCTTGGTCAAATCACAACAATGTAGTCAAGAATATTCCTCAGTGTGGTCAGCGACGATCTTATCACGAGTTCCAAATCTTCGGAAAGAAAGAGCTGGTCGACGATTTCTGCTCTGTCAAACTTTTTAGCAAGCCGGAAGATGGCCCACAGTCTCGGTAAATACAGTTATATAGTACTGATATCAGAGATTTTTAGGGAAAAATGCGCTAGTTGTGCTCATCGTCTACTTTCTTGGTGCTCCGCTTGAAACTGAGTTCAGTGCGCCGAATGACAAGAGGTTCAAGAACTGAAATTCAAGAGAAAGAACAGAGGGGATACGACAACTTCACTGACTGAGCGCTGAACGCGGTCGGTGAGTACAAACTGGCTTTTTGAATGGCTTCTGACACCGTGTAACAATAATATAATGAGTATTATTTATACACAATTGAAACTGAAAGCAGCAGACGCGAGCGTCAGACGCTGTCGTGTCAATTATAGCTCATCCGATATTTCTATAACGGAACCCTTTTATTACCGCAGTCATTCAGTCAAACTACGTATATTATCTTCGTTTTTATTGCTGGTTTTAAGTAAGAACAAAACTTTCAGCCAACTTTTCTTCCATTATCAGTACTGTTGAAGCCGCTCAGGAGAAAGTCTTAATTAATACATGAGTGATTTTACGAACTAGGCCGTAACTCAACTAATGGTCACTGGCTGGCTAAAGACAGTAACTAGACAAAATCGCGTATATAATGAACCGGAAAAGCTCCATCGGATCTGAGCATTTTGCGAGAACGCAATATAAACAAAGGTTGCCGTTCGCTCAAGTAACGCGGAAAGAAATTCTGTTCAAGTTCTCTTTCGTTTCGCTCAGCCGCTTAGTACACATTTCTACTGTAAGTTAGACACAAATAATTCACTGTCTTTTTGTAATCTCAGTTTTCTTTCAAAAGAACGTTGAGATCAACTCAAATTTTAAGAAAAAAAGAAGAAATTATAAAAGAAACAAAGTAAATCTTGTTTTCCATGGGACTTTTCTGAGGTTAAGATGTTTTTAACGGTATAGAACAAGATAAACGTAATTTATTTTGAGTATGAAAACATGAGAGTTTCTGAAAGTTTCAGAAAAACTACAAAAGAAAAACTCACCGCTTGCAAGCTGCGAGTCGCTAGAAGAAGTTTATTTTAAATTCTTTAACAGTCAAAGAACACACTATGAACTCTGTTAAAACGTAAAGCCTGAGTCTATTGTCTGTATTGCAAAAACTGAAAAACTTTGAACATTCATCCTCAGTTCAAAATGTAGGCGTTCGCAACAAAATAAAGTGTACTGAAGAGTTTATACATGTGGAGGGAGCCGCCAGTAATCGAGTTTATATTGACAAGGAGCTGAAACGAGATAAGTACGGGTTATAAAACACTGAGAAACGTTAAAAACTAGATCCAGCTGTTACAAGCCAGAGTGAAAAGACAATTAATGTTAAAACTGATAAGATAAGGTAATAATAATTCATAATAAGAAAAATTAACCTCGAGTATGGACCCGGGGGGGTACTTTGGGAATTTCTGGATGGGGATGTGCAGATGGGACCCTGGAACTCTTAGCCTATACCAGAGCTAGTTCAGCTGAATTTTGCTACTCTATACTA